CATGTTGTTTAGTGTTCTTTTCATGAAGAAAAATGCAAAAAACAAAAAAAAACGCGGTGCTTTTGAAAACCTTTTACCTTATATCTCCACAATGGAAGCACTTTAGGACATAATTCCAACTGATTCTGGAAGCTATGGTAAAGAGCTACAACTTTTGTTTTTTTACCATTTTTGGAAATTTGTCATGTGACCACCCTCCCAATGACCCATTGGATGGACCGTAATAGCTATTTCATTGCTATCATGGAATATAATGAAAAATCATAATGATATCCCTGGGGGCAGATATGAAATTGGAATGAAATATTGAGATACTCAATGAAAAATCCCAATGAAAGCTGTGGAATATTCAATGAAAGTGCACATCATTAATTATGAAAGAAGCAATGAATACATATAACCTAGCTAATGAAATATTTATTGAAATGCACAATGAAAGCACCCAGAATTGATAATGAAATATTCAATGAAAGCGCACAGCATTAATTATGAAAGAGGCAATGAATACACCTGACCTAGAGAATGAGATATTTATTGAAATTGCACAACATTAATTATAAAAAGTACAATGAAAGCATCCAATATTTCTAATGAAATATTCAATGAAAGCGCACACAATTAAATATGAAAGAGGCAATGAATACACCTGACCTAGGGAATGAGATATTGCACAACATTAATTATGAAAAGTACAATGAAAGCATCCAATATTCCTAATGAAATATTCAATGAAAGCGCACACTATTAAATATGAAAGAGGCAATGAATACACCTGACCTAGGGAATGAGATATTTATTGAAATTGCACAACATTAATTATGAAAAGTACAATGAAAGCATCCAATATTCCTAATGAAATATTCAATGAAAGCGCACACCATTAAATATGAAAGAGGCAATGAATACACCTGACCTAGGGAATGAGATATTTATTGAAATTGCACAACATTAATTATGAAAAGTACAATGAAAGCATCCAATATTCCTAATGAAATATTCAATGAAAGCGCACACCATTAGATATGATAGAGGCATTGAATACACCTAACATAGTGAATGAAATATTTATTGAAATCACACAGGATTAATTATGAAAAAAGCAATGAAAGCGCCCAAAATTCCTAATGAAATATTCAATGAAAGTGCACACCATTAATTATGAAAAAGGTAATGAATACACCTAACCCAGTGAATGAAATACCTATTGAAAGTGCACAGGTTTAATTATGAAAAGCACTCTGTGGCCTTGCCTATATCTTATGAGAAGAACATAGCCTTTATGAGAAAGAAAGACACAGGACACACCTATGAAAGGCCTTTCATAAAACTTGTGGACTTATACACACAGCTCTACAGGCAAGTGCCTTAGTTTTATGATAAAGGTGGTAGCCACTTGTGAAATGATGATTGATCCAACTTCGAGCCCGAGCTTGACTGGGAAAGAAAAAGAAAAGGTCAGATACTTATACGTTGGAGTTGGCATGCAGGTTGCGTGGGCATTGAACCAGTGGAACATAGCTGAGTGGAAGTGAGTGGTTAAGAGGTTAGTTGTGTTGAAAGGCAGTTGTTCACCGTTTGACTTTGAAGGCCAGGTCGCGGGCGCGAGTTGAGAGATAAGCCGCTAATGAAAAAGAAATTAGTGGGAGTATGACGAACGAGAATGAGGGGTGACAAAAGCACGCAGACGATGTAGAGGGAAGGAAGAACGATGGGAAGAAAGAGTGGTAGAAGTCAACATGATCACGTGTTGTCGGAGTTTTAACGGACTTGGGAAGAATCTTTCGTTGCTCTCAACTCTCGAGTCTCAACACACATGCCATGCCTGCGCTCTGCGCAACCACTGCCCGCCGCCCAAATGCTTGAACATCGACAACAGCTTCTTCCATTACCTCTACATGCCCTCCTTCCTCGCGTGCAGACCCCCATGTAGGATTCGAGTGGAAGTCATAACGCAACTGAGACAGTACCACGTCCGCGCTACATCAGTAGTGAATCCGCCTACTACTGCGCCCCCGGCGAATGCAAAGGTCACAACAGACTGGTTTGGGGGGTGTGCTTACGCTTACCACGGCATTGGCTGCTATGGTACTCTGACGAGCTTGAGTGCTGTGTGGACTTACACTGGGTGAGCGGCATATCATCCCCTTCCCTCCCCTTCCCTCCATTCTTTTCGCCTTTTTTCTTCCGTTTTCATGAATTGCCATGTTCTCACAACACAGCCGTCATAGCAGACACGTTCTCTGCCGTTGGCGTCATCGCACTGGGCAACATTGTGGTCCTCTTCACCAATGCCATCCGACGCTGCCGCGCCCAAAAGTTTGACCACAAATTTGCCGAAGGAGCAGCTGAAGTTGCTCACCAACCCGCCCCTGTCTTTTCGGCACGTACAAGGGTTATCGCGGGGGAAGCAGTCAGCATGGGTATGGCGGTACATATGGGTACGGAACCGTCAACTCTCAGATCTTTCTTCACATGGGATGTACGGCCAACTTCTGATGTCGCATGAGGTTTTTTTTTGTTTGCTGTATAACCAAAATCGTCAACACTTTACACTACTTGTAATCCTTTCTCAGACCGGTTCCACTTCCGCTATAATAATTTTTTCTAATATTAGTCCCCTCTGTGTAACCCCAGTAAAATTTTCCGAAATTAAATGGCATGACCTCTATAGTTAGTTGTTTTATCTGAAATTCTGAGGGACTGAGAGAGGACCCTTCGTAATACACAACAAGTTCTGAGTATCTGGCAACTTTTATCGCGACTACCTCAAATTAGTTGGTAGTTAGGTGTATTATCTCCCGGTTTTGGAGATTATAAGTAATTGGGAGATAATTACCCAAAATTCGCATTTGGGGTTTTTCCTGATGCTGTCTACTACTAATGTCATTGTCATAAATGCTTTTCCAGTCAGTTATTTTATTGTCTTTCACCAAGAGATCAACGTTCAACACCTAACTGGTGACTGACCAACAGGCAGACTATTTTTACATTCTTTCACCGTATGTGTTTTATTTATTTGGAATATGTCAACTGCTCATCATCGCAGTACAGAGCGGAGAGATGTCTTCATTCCGTATTAGCCAGCAGGGTACTCCTGCACATCAGAGACTATGTGTCAATGAGAAACGAGGAAGCCATTTTCCTTCCACATGATGGTATTGCCGACATACAGTTTGCTTCTGCCGGTATTGCAGGGTCGGATGATTCAGTAGATTCCTTCAGGGCTGCATGATTCGGAGGGAGCCAGGAGAAAACTGAATTCGTGGGCATCTAATTTAACTGAAATAACACATTACATAAATCCTGTATAACCATATAAATTCACTTACAGTTTTGGAGCAGTGGTTGTCACGCCTGTCGTATTGGATGAATAGGCCCTTACCACTTGGGTATTTGAGATTTACATGGTTTGCGTCAGGTTCGCATCACTTCGCGTCACCACCCAGTGATGTTTTCTAAATTTCGGAAGAACTCCAACACTCTGCAACACCGTTTGAACCAAGGTACGACTTCGGAGCACAAGGAACTTGACTACCAACACCGCCACAAATTACCAAAGTGATCGCGCACAATTACGTAATGATGTTGAACTCGTCGTTCGAGACGTCGAGCGGCAATATTTCCACGTCGTCAGCGACCACCCCAATTTCTCTCACGGCTATTTCAAATCAAATACCCGATGGCGCCAGGATTGACGCGCTCCGTGGAAGGCGGGTCAGGCAGCGGTGAGTGAGTGGGAATTCATCAGATTCTCATGTACGTACTGACGGGTCATGGGAACCGCTTTAATCTGGACTGTCATCAATGCCTGTGCGTAGTCGTCGTGCTGCTGCCGCTACTGCAGATATGCAGATAGATTCGGAGGTAGAGGAAGAGGAGGAGCAGATTGATGTAGATGGCGAAGAGGAGGAATTAGAGGACGAGGACAAAGATGAGCAAGTTGAGGAAGAGGATGATCAGGTTCGCCGTCTCTTTCAACCTGTAGCAGATTCTGATCTCCACCAAGGGCGATGAGGATGATGAGCCACCCCCACCCGTGCACCCCAAACTTCGCATCAAGCTCAAGCTTCCAACCGTAGCTAGCTCGAGCAACAGTCCTGGTACGATGCCTGACGTTGAACTATCACCGTCGAAACGGCGCAGGGCTGGTATATCTCTCTTTTTCTCGATTTGAACGTTTTAACCCTGGTCATAGCAGAAATTGACGTAGAGTCCGAAGATCCATCTCAATCCGAGTCGGAATGATCTTCGAGACCAATGACAGCGCGTCAGGCGGTGCTGGCGAGTGTCGTCGATTCTACTCATGTGTCAC